AAAACATTTTTCTACGAAGAAAGTAAGTAAAAGTTTTCTTTCAAAATATTTTAAATAAACTTTAAATTTTCTAAATTTCTTCGAATAAATATTGAAATACGTATAATTAATTTTTAAACGAATTTTAAACGAAGAATTTAACTTATTTTTAAAATTTTTAAAAATATGGCTGATATAGAGTTTTTTTTCGTTTTTTTCTGTAAACAAGTTTTTTTTAACTAAAATTTCGGACATGCTAAGAATGAGTAAAAATTTCAAAAAATTACTCAAAAAAATACAATTTTAGTGTTTCTTCTCAATAATGAAATATACTTTTATCATGAAAAAATTTTTTTCGTTAATTTTCAGACCGTTCTTGTCATGCTATATTAGATTTTCATGAAATAATAGAGGTACCTAAGTGAATGTGATGTTTTGGTGATTGGATTATTGTTGGCATGTTTGGGTCAGATAATGTAAACTAGCTAAGTTTTAGATTAAGACAGAAGAAGACCGTCATTCCCCATCCCCTCTTTGGCCATGTGCCACATTTTGTATTTTAAATATGCAAATAAATATTAGTTCTTCGAGGGACGTTCACGGTTGACGGCTAGAACGGGCAGTTAGTGTGATTTGGAGACAGAACTCAGGAAGGAACGACTCAAGTTTGAAATACCAGTTGGGAGAGCTTGAATTTACTCGCTGGTTACTGTTTTCTTCATTCGCCTCAATATAGAATCTCAAAGTTTAAAAAATCAGTGGTCAAAGATGAAATTAAAGAAGGAAATCCTATGAGATAATTTTAAAATTGAGTAAGTCTTGAAAATTTTGCGATGAACTGTTTAATCTAGTTTAATTGACTGGATCAGAGTACTTAGAAATTCAGCAGATTACAGATGAAGTGATAAAATGGAAAACTAAGAGCAAGAAGAAAGAAGTGAAGAATAGAAAGAAAAGAGAAAATTAAGAGGAAAAAAAAAATGTTCAAATTTATACTCATCATTTTAAACACAATATGACTTTCTATAGCTATTGGATAAGCAAATTGATCTCTCCTGTTTGAGATAAAGAAATATTTTACTGTTACGTTAATTGAAGGATTTACTCAAAGCCAATAGGTGAACATGCCTCATATTAACACCAACGATGGAATATCTATTTACTAATAATATAATATCTACTTACTAATGTTACTAATGTAGTAAGTAGGGTAGAGATAAAACTAGTAGATTATTTATGCAGGAAATATAACCATTGAAAATTGTCCGGAAGATTGTGTTCAAGCATGAAACAGTCTGTCGCCAGTCAGTGTTGAGCTCAGTTTCTATCTCTGATATGGAGCACTTTTTATTCATAAATATAACATAACTTAAATTATATATATATATATATATATATATATATATATATATATATATATATATATATATATATGAGAGTTGGTTAAAAAGTAATACTTGTTCTTTAATTACAACATTTGAAAAGAAAGTTAATTCTATAAATTTTACTCTAGGCTTTTAGACAAGAGAAAAAAAGAAGACTTGTAAGAGTTCTCTTTTTATTAAATTACAGCAAAGCATTATATATATATATATATATATATATATATATAGAGAGAGAGAGAGAGAAAGAAATTGATATAGACAAAGATAAACAAAAATATCAGGACTTCTGTAAAACTTCTGATGTAAACTTCACATTTGAGTCAAACGTTTTTTTCAGATTTTGACTGTTTTATCTTTAATTTGATATAACTTATTGTCCAATCATTGCTGAAATATTTATTCTTTATTTTCATATATATATAAACCATGTATCTTTTCAGGTTCATATATATAAAACATTAATTGTTTATTCTTTATTTTACAGCTTTGATAATGAGTAGTGACACTCTTTGGACTATAAATAATCTGCAATATTTATTGTCAATCTCTTTTTACTTTTTCCACTTAGATGCCAACATATAAGTCTCTTGTGGAAAATGTGTTCCCCATTGGGAAATGCAAGAATACACACACATGTATGCACTTTCACTAACTTCACATCCTTTTAACTTTAAATGTTTCCACATTCTTGTTTTTATGCACATAATTATCTTTGTTACTTTTACACCTTTCTTCTTAATACATTATCTTTTGTTTGTACATATATTGGTTCTTGCTGTTTCTTTGTATTTTATCATGGTGGACATACATGTAAGTCCTCTATTTTTGTTGTGGATATTCCAGGTCTTTCATAATTCAAGCACTTGATGTATATAATGTCTGCAACAAGTCAACTTAATTGGCTAGCCATCCAGACCAGGCCTGATCTAAATTAGTGCATGAAATTAAAGCAGAAAATTGAATGTATAAAGCAGGCTAGTAGTTAAAAAAGGAAAAATCTTAGACAGAAATTCAAGATTTATGAAACATAGAACATTTGAAAATTGTTGCATAATTTGCTAGCTCTTTTGGCAATTTAATGGATAGCAGATCCCAAGGAGGGCATATTCTCTCAAGTTGTGAACTACTGCAGAGGGCAAAGAGGCCCAGGGTTGCATGCATTTTTTGAAAAAGTAATGCTAGAGAAAATGGCTTACATCCAGGCTGAAGAGGATTCAAATTTGTCTTGCATGTAAACTGTCCCAAAAAGGAAAAATGGTGGTTTTGCAGGTCACACATTTAAAACTGATAGACTCAGACTCAGATACTCTCTAGCAAGAGTCTCTTTTCACATATGTAAATTTTGGCTGTCAATGAGGAGAACATAAAAAATAGACATAACGAGGTGACAAACAGAATGGTGACTGCTGTATCAAGAAGGAGACACATGTTGCAGTCAGTGGAATGGTTGACTAAAGGAAATGGATTGAAGGAATTGATTACAAGCCAGAAAAAACTACAATTTTACAAACTTTTCTTTACAAATAGATATATGCCCATTGCTTGGCAATCAAAAAATATTAGAAGAGTTGTTAAAAGTACTTTAGCAGCTGAAACATTAGATATGCTTGATACAGCAGAAGCATGTCTTTTTTTATAGAAAATGTTTTATTAGAACTGCTGCAACTTGAAGATGATAGGGATAATCTACAAATTATATGTAAAACTTATAATTAATGTCTCTTTGATGTAGTACATTCATCAACACAAATTTGGGATAAGAAACTGCATAGACATGACTGTTTTAAGAGAAATGACGGATAGAAAAGAAATTGCAGAAATCACTTGGATAGCAACTGATGCATAAATTGCATACTCCTTGACAAAGGAAAGCACGTGATTATTTAAGATCCTTTGGTTCATATCAGAGCCTAAGGAATCCTCTTTGTAATGTGTTCTCCAATCTTCTTTTTGCAGTGATATATATATATATATATATATATATATATATATATATATATATATATATATATATATATACACATGTATACACATGATACTCATGCAAAAAAAATAGTGAGAACAACTCTTACTCTTTACGAGTTGTTCCCTTTGGACAATCTCCTAGCTAAGAATGAACAATCTTACCTGGAAGTGACAAGCAGCCATCTTTCATTGGAAACCTACATGGAAAACAAAGCAATTTGAGTAAACTATTCTCTCTCCATCACTTGCCTGAATTCCTTAATTTAAATCTCTCTTTCTTCTTTTGTTGTTTTTCTATTTATCTTTATGGGGATGGCAGTTTTATATTTCCCAGTCATAAGTAAATCACATGATGTAATTAAGTTACCAAACTGAATCTAAGTGATGAGTGATAAAAGGCATAGTAACTTAAAGTGAATCAGTCAAATATAGCTCAGCATAAGTTTAAATCTAATAAACAATTTGTTTAGAACCAATAAGAAAAGATTCTTTCAAATTAAAATTGTCTAATTCAGACTTCAAAGGATTCAGCTAACAACATCCAGATAAGTTTCAATTGAAAGGAAACACCTTTCTTAAACTTATTCACCAATCAGAATGCTTCATCCTAATCACCTCTATATAAGGAACAATGTCCACCAGTTTAACCAGAGCTAAGCTCATTCATCTCTGCTGTGATACCAGGCCATCCAGTCAATTGGTTAAGTCAACTCTTCAACTTTGCAGCCTACACATATATACACTCAAACACTTGTAAGCCTTCCTTCCCACACCAACCAACTGTAACTTTTTTTCCCTCAAATGTATCCAGTTCATTTCATACAGTCTTCAAAGAGAAAGTTAAAAGATTTTGTATTATTTGTTAAAATAATTATTGCTATTTTATTTGGAACCATGACACAGTCTTTGCATTCTTTTTATTCATGAATCTTTTTTTTTGCCAAAGCTGTATTTTTGAAGATACTTTATTTGCAGCCTGATGTAAATATTTGTCAACTTCACCATAACGAAAAACAATTGTTTCAAAAGAAATGTTAGTTTTGTTTTTATTTGCAAGGAAATGTTTACACGATTTCCTCTTTTTTTTTGAGAAGAATGTAGATATTTATTTTCTATTTTTGAAATCTTACTTCTGTGCTTTTTATCCCAACTCCCAGATTATTATATTATTTTATTATATTATCATATTATTCTGTCAAAATAAGCACCATGGATCAAAAAAAAAAAAAAAATAATCCTCTGGCAAGATTTAGAGTTACATGTTTTATTGTTTGAGTTGGTCATTCCATTATAATGTCATTACTAATAAAGTATCCCTTAAATAAAGTTATATTCTTTACTTCAGAAGAAGAATTGGGTCAACCAGAAAAGAGACCCAGAATTGGTTGTGTGTGGTGCAGTAAGTATCAAGAGTTACATCCTCTTCCACTATTGGCTATTGAGAGAGGATATTCTACTTAAAGTAGGTGGCACTGACAAAATTTGTATACAAATGATACCAGACAAGTATTAGCCAATAGTCAGTGTGGGTTTGGGACTGAGGGAGCTATATAACACTAGTTTTTTCTCAGCTGTGAGGAGCACTCTCAATGTGTGGAAAACCAGACAAAATGAACACACACATTTATAAAAATGTCAGGGAAATGTGAACTCTTAAATAATGAAGCTTATGGACATATCACATTGAAATACAGGTTCTCATACAATCATCAAAGTTAAGCAATATTGAGCCTGGTCAATACCTAGATGGGTGACCAATTGGGAATACCAGGTGTTGTAAGCTTGGATGTACACGTGGTACAATGGATAACAGCTTGGAATTGGAAATTGGGGAGCAGACTTTCAATTCCAGTTGAAATTATTATATTCACTTACACACAAATATGCTTGGAGAAGATATGAATCCACCTCTTCTCCCCCATCTGTGGGTTAATTAGTAGAACTTGTATCAGTAAAAATTATTATGTCCAAAAATTCTTACAATCTAAAAATATTTTCTGGTTATAAATAACCTACAATGGGTTGATAAGTCATAAAAACAAATTGATCTTAACCAATTGATATTGAAAGTTCTGTGATTTGAGAATGGAATGATTGATTTTTAGCAAATTAAAATTAAAAATTAACAACTGATAATCAATATTTCATCCAGGAAATTTCTAAATAGTTGCCTGAAAAGTTCACAGCACCTTCTATGGACATTGATGACTTAAATTCTACTCAAGTCTTTATTATTTGTGCAGTCAATCAATTATAGGATGTCATTGACTTAGGAAGCTCATACATGAAATTATAATAAGGAAAATTAATCAACATTTAAACATTCGTCTTTAGCTTGTTATAGAATGCAGAGAAATCTTATGAATTTATTATGAGAATCAAAAAAAAAAAAAAAGTTGTGGTTCACTTCAAGACAACTTTCAAAAACTCAAACCTAAATGGAATAGACAAGAAAATTCTCTGTGTTTAGCAGGATTCAAAGGGAATTTTTTTTTTCTCATGACTTGCTGGAACCTGAACAAATAGCTACGATGGGCAATTAGCTTGTTTGAATAGTGGATTTTATATGAAAAGTTGTTTCATTTTTTTTTTAAAAAAACACACAGAACTAACAAGATGGTTATATTTTCTATTGAAATTCAAAAGGGAGATTACTAGGAAAAGACCTGTTCCCCGAAAGGAACAGGCAAATATTCTGAATACCACAGATCTATTTATCTGAAAATGCTTATTCTTATATTTATGAAAAGAAAAGAACATTAAATATCTTTAGCATTCATATTTAAATTCACATGAAAAGACACTGTTGATTGTTTCTATTTGTGGAAAGTAGTAATAATAGATATTTTCTCTTGTGTCAAAGATCATTGGGTCTGTCAGGTTTAGTACAAGTTAACAGGTTCCCAGATCATCAGTTCAAAGCTAATTACTAAGATTATGGCTGCTGCTTGGTAAAAAGTGTACAGTATTCCTCTGGTTTTGTAGTGTCAGTCAAAGGAAAAGTACTGGCATTGACTTGATGGTATTGATCTTATGGAGAAATAAGGAAATGAAAGTATAAACTAAGAATAACAACTACATTTACTATTATTACAGGCAAAATTAGTTTTTTCCATACATGAAATATTCGGCATTTATGGTAGGCTGAAATTTGTAAACTCTTTCTTTTAAAACTGTTTTCCGGGAAAATAAATTTCTCAAATTCACTGCTAACACTTTTCTATTATTGATGGGAGTTTTTTTCAAACCTTAGTTTTAGGTATGATGATAAACTACATCTGGCAGCAAGATTAGTGGTTTTGAAGAGCCTGGAACTACTTCTATTGTCCCCAGGTCCACTTTTGACCCAGGGTGGTAGCACCTGTTAGGGTCCTATTTATGGTTGAATACTGAACTTCCCCAAACAAAAATCAAAACACTAGGAAAGTATAAAAAATACATTTTTATAGTAAAAATACCAGAAATACATTTTATAAAAAAATTACCAACAATACATTTTTGTAGTGAAATTACCAGCAATACACTAAAAAAAAAATTACCAATATTTTTATAGTAAAATGACCAACAATACATTTTTATAATAAAATTGATGGCAAAGCATACATTTTCAAAAAAAAAAAAAAGAAAAAAAAGCAATTTGCTACAATTAATCTAATTTCTTGTATAGAGGAACAAGTTTTCATTCCTCATTTGATTTTGTAAGATTATTTGGTAAAAAAATTCCACTAAGTAATTGAAATAATGTCGTCTTCTTGGATTAATTATAAAGTTTTAATTATCATACTTAGATTTTGGTATTAAATAACCCATACAGGTTGATAGTTGATATCATGCCACTAAACCAAAGAAATCATTTTATACCAAAACATAATACCTCCAGTGGATAATCTACAAACGATATATCTATAAAATAAACATTTTGCTGTGAATGGATTAGATTATGTACAAAATACATGTAGCCATAAAATTGCATTCAAAATAATTAAATTTTGGCATTAAATAACTCATAGATATTGATATGCTTCTAAAGAAAAACAACCACACCAACCAAACATTTTGTTTAAGATAATTTAGAAAGTTATCATCTTGATAATATCATTACTTTCTTTCTAGTTACATATTTTACACATTTTATTGCTGTTTCTATTGGAAGGTTTCAAGTGATGTGGTTTTTGTTATTTGGTAAAGTTCTTTGTGATTTTGTTGTGTCAGTCGATCTGATGAAGGATTGTCAAAAAAGTCAGTTCTTCCTTATACCCTTTCTTTAAGACTTAAAGCATTAATTTGCCTTAAGTCTTTTTGACTGAGAAAAAGTGTTGTATATTGATGAGAGTTCAGATATTTTTGAATGAGTTGGATGTCATGCATGGCATCCATCTGAGAGTCTAGACCTGACATGACTAAAAACGCTATTTCCAGTTTTCAGGTTAATATTTTGCCTGTGTAGTATTTTACAGTGATGGACAAGTGTACTTGTTGTAATATCTGCTGAAATGAAAGAGCATAAATAATTTATAATTGAATAGATGACTTTATAATTGAATAGATGACTCTGGTTTGTATTTTTGTTAAAGTTAACTGATGAACGGAAATGAAGAAGTTAATAAATGACTTTGCCCTGGTTGACTAGTGTTGAGAGTTTCATTACTTTACCAGTGAATATCATATCTTTTTTATGGTTGAGTAGCTTGTGAGTAAATGTTAAGGAGTTTATAGAGGTTGTGAGATTGGTGAAGTGCAAAAAAAGGTCCAATATCTTTACTAAAAGTAATTGTTATTAATGATTGAAGAGGCTGCAATTCTGGTAAATCTTCAGTACAGTTTTGACTGGATGGAAAATAATTAAACTGTTCTTCTCTAATTTTTACTAACCACTGCAACTTGCTGTTATAATCTTATGTGTACAAAGACCACTCTTCTTATTTGGCTTCTAGGCTTCAAAAAGTTAAGACAGTCACATGCTCAGTCCTAAAATATTTATCTGTCAAACATTGACTGTTTGCAGGGGAGGTCAAATAAAGCAACATTCAAATAAAAAAAATTTCATTCAGATTAAAAGATAAAGATTAAAAGATTAATAGATAAAGTAATTAATTATCAGATAATCTATGACAAAGTTAAGAATAGACAAATTAAAAGAAAAATTTGGGAGAAAATTTAATTAATATAAATATACAAAAAATTAAATAAATGAAATATGTAATAAAGCTTGCTGTAATGGCTGGGGACCAGGGTTGAAGATTAAGTAAAAAAAAACAGGCCCTCCCTACTTGACAAAACACAATCTTGCTCTTTCAATTCTTTCTTCATCTGGCCTTAAATTTAACTAAAACATGTATTTTTTTTATGTCATTATGGAATTTAAACGGTTACATGTTTATGTGTGCGAATGTTCACATATAATAAACAAAGAAGAAGCATACAAAAAAATTGGGTTTCTACCGAGGACGTTTATTCTTTTTATAGTAACAGTAGTGCAACAAAGTTTTTGATGTCTCTTTGGTATGTCTGTTTTATTTTTTGATCCAGAATTTAGGGTAAGTAAGTATAAACATTGCATTAATGGTTGCGCTCAAGTCAATTTTGCACAGAGTTGGAAACAACCAAAGAAAAGTTTGTACTTACTTTATTGCTGGAAAGTTTAAATATGGTTATGGCATGACTGTTTTATTTTTTCTTGGTCCACAAGTTAGGATAAGTAAGGATAAGCATCATTATAATGGTCAAACTAAAGTCAGCCTTGCACCGAGTTGGAAAAAACAAAGAAAAGCTTGACCTCATAGGTGGAGCATGCAAACGCCATTTATTGTGAAGTAGAAAGAGAGTCAGTTGCCAGTTTGGTTTCCACATACTACTACATCCTGGAGTAAGGGGAGACAAAATACTGAGGCAGGGAAATTTTTATCTTTTATAGGTTTAACCAGAGCTGCTTACCAGCATTTGATGAAACCAAGTTGTTATAGACAAGCGTATGGTTGCAAGAAGGAAATGCAACAACAGCAGAAATAGATTTATGTGATTTATTTCAATAGGAATGTGTGGGTTTGGGACAGCTACCTTGTGGTATAGTTCATAAGCTGGCTCCCGGTCTGGGTTGATCTCTCATAGTAGTTCACACTGGTTGGCGTGGCTCTCCTCCTGCTGATTGCTGCTGACTGACCATGACAGGTCTCTTCCCTGGCCTCCTGTTGACTGCCACTGACTACCCGTGTGACCTCTTTTATGGCGTTTTTTATGGCTTCACAGACTTGAAAAACGACACGAGTATAATTAGGAGGGAAGCATTTTTATTGGACGAGAAATAGGAACACTTTAATATATTATTTTATTTTTTGACCAGAACTCGTGTGTCGGGCTTGTGTGTAGACGACAATAATGGTCATTTTGTGACGGTGCCTTGTCTTGTTCACATTCGGCTCTCGCTCTTGAGTATGTTATTTTATTTGCCTGCAAATCAGCCGAGGTATGTCTTATTTTATTTTATAACAAAGTGGAGTAATCATATTTCCAATTCCTTTATGTAGCATCATGGGAATTTTTTTTTTTTCATTATTCCTTATTATCATTTTATTTATTCATTTTATTTCATTTCCCTACATCATTTAAATAAAGATTAAACAAAAATTCATAACTAAATGGCACTGAGATGGTATAATTATTATACTTTCATAAAGAATATGTTTTTTTTTTTGCTATTTTAAATTTTTCAGTTATTCTTTCAGTAAATTTACAAACAAGAAATGAAGTGGATTCAATTTTAAATGTTATCACAACAACGCTT